TAAAGATATTATGAGTATTCAGAATATTTTGCAGTCATCTACCATATTCACTAAAGAGTAAATTAACTAAAATTATCTGATTTTTTTTATAATTTTATTTCCTTTGGCGAAGATAATGAAAAACCTTATGTTTACAAATATTGCAATCCAAAAACAACAACAAAAAACAGAGCATATTTATTAAAAAGTAAAACCACTAAGTTTAAACAAAGAACCAAACATTAAGGAGATACTTTATTAGGCCTCAAGCAATCTCAAGTCTTGCAACTTCTTTGATTCTTATTCTATGTATGTTTGTGTCAACTACTTACACTTGATAATGACAAAATCTTCATAAAAAAAACCTTTCTTTGTTATTCATTCAAGATGTCTCTAAACTTTATAAGCTTACCTTATCTCAAGTTACCAGATATCCTATCAATGAAGAAAATTTCTGTTGGTTTCAAACAGAAATAATTTAATACACAACTACTTTAACAATTCTCAAATGAAAAAAACATTTCCAGAAACAATAAAAAACTTTTAAACCTATATATTTAATCTACTATGATGTAATAATCTAATTTTTGCCCTATCAAATCATATCTAAACTGTCTTTATAGCTCTTTTCAAAGCTGTTTCATTGGTAAATGATCAAATAACTTGAAGTGGCACCATAACAAGGTGGAAACCAAGGTCTGTACAATAACTAGGGGAAATACTTGAAAATTTTGGAATGGATTAAATGTTTTACAGGGATAATAGGTCCTTAGCAAAAAGTCATTCTTTGGGATGGTCAGAAAAATTCTTGTGGGAGACTGCATCTCATCTCTACCAGGGTATAATCTTTGCTTAGAAGGAAATGGGGGGAAAGGTAAAAGAGCCTCAAGTGTTGCATGGGTGGGTGGAAATTGATCACGACCAACCTAGCACTCACATACAAGTGATCAGCAAGCCAAGAAATGTAGTGTGATTAGGATGCAATCTGACTGTACAGCGTGTGTCACACTTTGACTTAACTGGACACACCCACTGCAGGAAGAGGGCATGCTAACTGTTTGAAGGGTGACCCTCACTACACGGATAGTGTCACTACTACCTTACTTCCCACCAGTGTTGTGCATAATCAGTTAGGAACTCTCCAAGGTACACTACCACAGCAGTTAAGAACTGGTAAGTGGCAAGAGTCTCCTGTGCTCCACTAGAAAAAGGGGGATAACTCGCATTGGGAACCCAGATAAATGTCCAGTTCCCCAGTGGATTCCTGTCAGAAAGGTATTTTACTAAATACCATGAAACCCTATTTTTAAAAGACAGCTAGTGCAAGCCAAAGAAATGGGCAGACATGTCCATGGTACTGGCTTTTTCCATGATAGTCCATGGAATGGTACAGTCTGGATTGGGCAATTGAGTAAATTTTAATACCATAAGGATACCCCTAATGGTCTAAAGGAACACATCATCCCAACATTGTGCAATGGTAGAGCCAAGGAAGATGGGTTGAGAACTTTCCGTTGCCACAGACCCAATGCAGATTTTGGGAAATAAGCATACCTTAGGAGGCAACACTAGTCATCTGGCAGAATCCTATAAAATAACAAAGAAAACGTACTTACCCTTCTCATAGGCAGCACATATATTGAAGAATATCAACAGGAGGGAGTCAAAATCATGCAGAAAGTTAACAGCCAGATGATGAAGATAATGGGAGATGAACATATTGGGGAGTCATCCACATGTCAGCCTGAAGGATCTCATCCATGAGTCAGCAAAAATGGGGCACAAGAGAGTGAGACAGGTGACAAATTTGATGTGATGAAATGTGAAAAAGCCAGCAAGCATCAATA